GGCTCCACGGCACATACTAACAACATACTTTGTAGGAGTCCTGGTGCGGCACTGTGGGCTAATGCACTGGACTGCAAAGTCAGTTTGAACCATTCAAGTACCACCAGCTGTTCCTTGGAAACCCTATACAGGGTTGCTATGGGTCGGAACTGACTCGATGGAACTTAACAACAACAACAAAAACGGTACTTTGTAAGTTTTTCCAGTGGGAGGTTTCTGGCTTCATTCTGCGAAGAAATCCCTATTTAGGAATTAGTATTGTTGTTGTTGTTATGTGCCGTGGCGTCAGTTCCGACTCATAGCAATCCTGGACAGGGTTTCCAAGGCTGTAAACCTTTACGGGAGCAGACTGCCTCATTTTTCTCCTGCGGAACTGCTGGTAGTTTCGAGCTGCTGACCTTGCGGCTCGCAGCCCGATTCGTAACCACTATGCTACCAGAGCTCCTTAGTATTACCCAAGGAAAATACTCTCTCATCTATTGAAAACAGAACTTTCATAATTTTGTCAGAATTAAAATTTTGTGGAGAAAAATCCTTGTAATTATTTAATAATTAATGAGGCTATCAATCCTGTTGTTTTGAGCATTACGGTTGAATTTGGGCTGTTGGCATATACATGCCAGTTTCTAAAAAAATGCAAATCAGTATGTCTGGCAACAATTCAATGCCAATGCTGGTTCAGTCTATAGATACTGTAAGGAGAAAAAATGTTTTTAGCCTTGTATCCTGATTTATTGTGAAATGTTTACTGGTACAAAGTCTTATTGCGCCTTAACTGGGCTTTCAAAATTCTGTAATTAACACTCCATTGACCACTCCAAAGCATTCTTTGATTTAAACCATTCTGTCTTGTAAAGAGTTTACCAATTACACAGTATTTAGAATTAGTTGCCAATGTTCTCCCTGATCTCCTAGTTTTAGAACAGGATTCTTACTTTAGACCTCTTCTTGTTGCTGCAATGTTTCATCAAGTCGGTTCTGACTCATGACAACCCTGCATAGGGTTTCTGAGAAGCGGCTGGTGGGTTTGAATTACCAACCTTGTAGTTAGCAATCTAGTGCTTATCCTACAATGCCACAACAGGATTTCTTGGGTGATGTATATTGTTAAGTGCTAACCAACCAACCAAAAGTTGATGGTTCAAACCCACCGAGCTGTGACTGGCCATCTGCTTCCCTTAGGTTTTATTCTGTAACACATGGAGGGGCTATAAGTCATAGTCAACTGGAAAGCAACTGGCTTGGTTTATAATCCAGACAACGGCAAAATGAAAATCTACACCAATATTCTAATTCCCATACAGATGGAGGGAATGAATACAATAAACTACCCCCTGAGTAAACTAGTTGCCTTCCTCATCTCTCAAATGTGGTCACTTATTGTATAGGGATGTGATGTGAATCAAGTGAGGAAATATGTGGCTATTCAAAATTATAAGACCACCATACAAATATACAATTTTTAAATGTAAAATATTATTTCATCCATTTGTGATGATTTTCATTCTAAGATATAACGAATAAGACTTAAGATAAAAAGAATAAATCTGATCATCTGAATTGTTTGGGGCATTTTCCATCTCCATTATCAATAATTTAACTCAAGATCTTGAGATAAAAGGGGGCCAACATTTTGTGCTAATCCGCAAAAGTAAATGAAGCCCCTTCCACAGGCTTCTGGCACTTTAGGGGAAGCACTATGGAAATATTGTCCATAAATGCTTGCTGTGTGCCAGGGAATCATAGAGTTTATGAACAAAATACAAATTGATTTTTTTTTTTATTTTTATTTTTTTACCTGTGTTGTATAACCTGTGCTTTCTCTTAGGAAAATGACAGGTATGCTGTTCTTGGTCTGTCTGCACTTTGGTGTGGCTTTCATTATCTGTGGTATAAAGAGCCTATCTAAGATGTGGGGTCCAATGGAATGATTCTCACTTAGCAGGACTTGGAGGGAGGTGGCTGACAACAGCAAAATTATAAACTTTAAACGTATCTGGTGGAGGAGATTGTAATCATTGCAATGAAATGATGAGTGTAAACCAATGATCTCCCATGTAAACTATCACTCAATTCACAATAAAAACTTGAAAAAAGAAGAAAAACAAAACAAACAGACAAATGTTTTCTCAGAGGCTACATTTATACAAATGTTTGGGAAGCTTCAGTAGAATCAAATAATGAATTAAGCTACTAAATCTCCCAAAGCATTATTTTCTATAAAGCAAGAGTAATAATCCTATCTACTGCACGGGCTTATTATGAGAATCAAACTATATCGTGCTTGCAAAGTGCTTAGGACATTATTTGGCACATATTCCACTTACTTGGTGTGGTGCTGTAGGATAAACCCTGAACCTCAAGATCAGTTTGAACTACAAGGTCTGTGGTCCAAATTCACCAACCACTCCTTGGAAACCCTATACAGGGTCTCTATGAGTTGGAACTGACACAACAGCACTTAATAACAACAACAAACTTATTTGGTCTATAAACATTTCTTAAGCACCTACTGATGTGACAAATTTCTAAGTGATGGAGATACAGTGGCATGGGAGGTAAGTGATTGGCTGCTAACACAAAGGTCAGTAGTTCAAACCCACCAGCTCCTTCCTCCAAGACAGACTGCTTCAGTAAAGGTTATACACTATGGTTTGTACCCTGTCTTGTAGGATCAATAAGAGTCAGATTGACTTGATGGCAATGGGCTTGTTTGGTTTAGAGATACAATGTAGAACAAGGTCCCTGCTCTTCTGGATCTCAAATTCTATAAGGGGAAGCAAAACAAAGAAAACTGAACAGTAAAAAAAAAATAATAATAAAAAAGGAAAATATCACAATGAGATGTCTGTAAGGAAAAGAAAATAAGATGATGTGATGGTGCTTTATAGAATCTACCCTAGACTGGGTATGGAGAAATGGCTTCTTTTCATAAGTGACATTTAATCTAAGACACGTGAACTGTGATTATAATCACTAGTAATAAATATTTAACACTATTGCTAAATAATACTACTATACTGTACTGTTATATTCCTAAAACTAAGTATAGTAAGTAATGTTATTGATTAAATGTGTGGTGAGACCTGGGGACACATGAGCCCATGGACAAGGACATAGCCACAGAGGGCTAGAACTGAGAGTGAAGCATTCAGCTGATATGAAGGGAGGGGAGACACTCAAGAACAACCAAACTTGTAGTCCATTCGACCTAGCCTCAATGGCTTGTTAATCAGAACTTGACCAGAGGAAGATTAAAAAAAAAAAAAAA